CTGTTCCAACCCCGTAAGACCTTCGTTCATCTTCGCAACACAAATGAAGATATTATTGATGAATTACGAGAGCTTTCTGACCACCGATAGACCGCAACTTTATAACCACTTTCAAGCCTCAGAAAGGTAGAAAAGACATCGTTGAAATAGTTCATGTGACTACCATGGTTCAACCTTAATGTTATGAAGCAACGAAAATACATTTTTGTGCAAAAAAATTAAATAAAATATCTTTATTCAACAATTTATTCTCTTCCACGTCAGTCTCCTACGCTGTTCACGTCAGTCTATTGGTAGTCAGAAAGTCATTAAAAATATCTTAATTTGTGTTCCGAAGATGAACGAAGGTCTTACGTGTTTGGAATGACACGAGGGTGATTAAATGACAGTAATTAATGACATAATTTTTAAGTGAACTAACCCTTTAAGGGAGACTCGCAGACTATAATCTCAGGACTGTACAGATGGAATCTACCGGTCAGTGGTTCTGTTAGCTGACTAAGTTTGGATGGTCCACTAGCTATTTTTCAACATTTTGGTAATCAAGCTTCATTTACATGTCAATCTGGGATCATTCTGTCTCTTACATAAAGAAATGCCACTCAAAAAAGAGCTAAGTTTCTTCATTAACTCCATTCGAATTAAGTCCATTTATGTTTGTGTGGCACTCCTGTCCTTAATTAGACAAGCTTCACATTGATCCACTGCCAAAATGGAACATTGCAAAGTGGCAGGGAAACAGAGAACAGTGAGAGGCAGTCTTTTAGTCCACTCTAAATACAGTAAGTGAGTGTGATCTAAACTGAAGAAGATGAAAAAAAGGTGTGCCACTTCATTTCTTCTAAACCAACAAACAAAAAAAAGACAGTAGAACCAAGGCTGCAGTTGTTTTATATTAAAAAAATTGAGTAAAAGCAGTAATATTGTGATATTACAATTTAAAATTACCTTTTCCCCTGTTTTGATATATATGTATGAAGAGTTCAGATGCAAAAGCCTCTAAATGCCATTTGAAATTTTCTTCTAAAATGACCATTTTTATCAAGCTTGTATATTTAAGTTCAGTAATTTCACTTAAATGACAATTAATAGGTAATCTTTATTGCCATTTAAGTGAAATTACTGAACTTAAATATACAAGCTTGATAAAAATGATCATTTTAGAAGAAAATTTCAAATGGCACTTAGAGGCTTTTGCATCTGAACTCTTCATATATATATATATATATATATATATATATATATATAAGCTGCAGTCCATAGTTTTTCCTCTGTCGCCATCTCTGTTTAAAATCTGCAGTTGCAGTTATTCGCATAATTATCAACTTTACGCGAGTTGTTCCTCGGCACGAAGCACTGCAGTAAATCGCGCTGATTAAATCTAGGGCGGAACAATTTTAGGAAAAAAATCGAATTGAGATTTTTTTTTAACCAATATTGCGATTGCGATTTAATATGTGATTACTACAGTTCTTTAACTTCTGTATTATTCGACAAAGACGAGAAATAAGTAAATTTATAGTAGGGATGGGAATCTTTAGGCATCTCATGATCTACTTTTTTTTCATAATTAATATTAATAACAGTAAAAAACTTTGTGTAATTATACATATTTTGAAAAATAATTATTAAAAGAACACGTTAAGAATGTTAAATAGCCTAAGAATATAGCTTCAAAATACATAAGCTAGTAAATAAAGAGGAACAAAAAAAAATTTTTTTCAAGCAATAAACAAAGAGTGCTTTCAGTATTTTAAAGTAGTATGTCTGAACGTTTTTTCATTCAAGAGCTGTGAGTGTCTTCTCAGTTTAGATGCGACTATGTGTCTATGCGATTTTTCTAAACTAATTTCACGTCATAAAAAACGTATGCCAGTACATTAACCAATGAGTCGCTCACAGCCGCATTCGCAAGTACTCTTCACAAAGTGCGAGTGAGTATTTTAAATTGAAAGCAGCCTTCTCAGCGATTTTCATATTTGTAATAAATAAGCCAACTGCATACCAAAAGACATAAATAATGCCTTAGAAGAGTATTTGTGAGGAAAATTCTGGCGGGCAAGACCACGAACTGCAAGAGTAATCATGATACGATGTGGACGGTAGAACGTGTGACAGACAGTTATATGAGTTAGATTTGGAATATAGTGCGAGTTGTGAGATGCCAATCGCCTCCGTGAGTCTGTCTGGCCTCTGCAATAACTTCAGCTGTGAGCTAACCTTATCCCTATTTTTCTTCCCCACACAACGCGTTACAAGACCTTAATAAACACATCAATCTTACAAAACATTGATGAGTCAAACAAGTTCTGTAGCTATACAAAAGCAATATGCTACAACTTCTGTAAAAATGAATAAATGAAATATAAAAATATAAAGTGTGCTTCTGGTTTACAGCTTTTTGATGATGTTGTGTTTTGGTCAGATGTGCCACCATCCACCGATTTACCAATCATGAAGTCAGTAGTGTTGCAGCATCCGGGGTGCCAGCTCTTCTCTAGTTACCACAGCTGCAGATACAACCGTGTGGGATAAAAAAAAAATGTTGGATCCTCCAGCCTACCTGGCAACCTCGAGTCAGGGGGGAGGGAGAGGGGATGCACTGCTCTACAGTAATTTGAAAGTGATTGCCGTACCAGATTTGGCCACAATCTTACATACGGCTCCTTTAAAATGAAATATGGGATCATCACACATAGACCATGCTACAGTACAAAGACTCAGGTCTTCAAGGTTACTGTATCCCAATGTCAAGTGCTGTATGATTAGCAGGTCCATCCATTATCTCAGCAAAACACACCTGCTGCCCACTCATGGTATACATTACAGCCAAGCAGCACTTCAACTGTTTTCACATCAACAATTCCACAGTAAATTCTGTATTAGTTGCTGTAACCGCAGATGTTAAGAAGTTGAGCTGGTGATCTAGACTTTATTTTGCACGAGAATAGGATTTCCTATCCAAAGGTTCTGATTAGAGAGTGGCTGATCAAATCAACACAGACGTTCAGTTTGGTTCATTTTCAGCCATAAAGCTTTAGACAATTTTGCAAAAAGATTATTCATGAGAAAACACTGATTATGTATTTTGAGCTCTGGAAAGGTCACAGCTGTAGCCTGGATGCCAGCCCGAACCCCGCCCACAAAATTTTTTGGTTGGGAGGTTCGGTCTGGAGTTGATCCATTGAGGAGTAATTAGGATTCAAATCATCGGCCCAATCAAATTGCCAGCATGGGCTCTCTACAATAATGTACAGATGATCTACAGTTACGTAATCATCACTTTATCAAAGAGTGCTTGGGTTGTCAAAAAACTTTTTTTTTTTTCTACAGTCTATGGGTTTTGCTCATGGATGACAGCAGCTGGAGAATTGAGATGTATAGATTTCGGTATTGCGTCTGTTGAAAAAGAAATCGACGGCCCGTTAATTTTAAAAGAAGAACAGAGAACTGCATGCAATCAAGGCATTTGTCGATCGGGAAGATGTGTTTGCCATCCTTCCTACGGGATTCGGCAAAAGTTTAATTTATCAGCTGGCTCTGATGGTCGCTAAGAAGATGGGGCACAATGAAAACCCTGTGGTCGTTGTGGTTTCTCCTTTGGACACACCAAGCGTGCCGCACAAGCCCTCAAAAGTGAAGCCAAAACGTCTCGATCGCCCCCCCAGTGACCGGTCCTAGTATAGGTCACAAACCCCGCCTCCCCATGTTATTCAACGGGACGTGAGACCAACTAAACAATTAAATTATACTTCACATATCCTTTTTCCAACGATAGTTTCTGTCATTTACTATCATTATTGCTTTTCTATCACGTTGATGTAATTTCAAGTGTTTGTTTTCAAAATAAGTTTGTTTTTAGTTAGTTATGTGATGCTATAAAAATGGTGCTGTGACATCATGATTGACAGCTCTGATTGACAGGTTCTCTGTGCAAGGTAGTCACTGAAGCATCAACAGACGTTTTTTCATAATGTTGATTATGTGGTTAGTAGTTGTATTTACCTGATTTTAACGAGGTTCTGCAATCAGCAGACACCATTGGAGAGCAACGAAGCAGACAGAGGCCACTTAAAGTCCCCGTGAAATCAAAATTGAACCTATTTACTTTGTTAGCGCATATTACTAGTCTTGTGGTGAACAATTAATCCATGCAAGTGAATATATATTAAAAAAACGTTTTACCTTAGTAATCTTTAATCAAAATCTGAAAAGTTACTTCCGGTCTGGAACGGTTTCTTTTTCTGATGACGTAGGTTTCACAGTTTGGGTGGGGAAACGCTTAACCACTCCCCTCAAACCGTTAGTTTGCTATGAGCGAGAGATGGAGAGGAGGAGCGCTAGAGTAAAACCCTGCCCTCTGTTCAATATTCCGTTTCACTTGGAAATACGTCACAGCACTGGAGAAAAATCGTTTGCAACTTCCGGTTCACGGGGACTTTAAGAAAAGTGCGGGGCATGTGCTTGCATTTGATTCAGGGAGAATGAGGGTGGGGCCTTGATTTCGCGATTTTCTCTGGTCCCGAAAACGCAATTTCAATTTTTTTTTTTTTTAAATTTCAATTTCAACGTGCAAACTCAAGTACCAAGATGTCAGCGCCATATCAAGACACCGACGGCTTCAGTTCTCTCTGATGGAAAAGAGCGAAGGGGCGTCGTCCATCTTTTTTTACAGTCTATGGGTCACACTCATGGAGGACCAAGTAAAAGAAGCAACACTCAATATTTTACTACTTCTTCCAGCGTGCGCATAGTTAAGATCAACATACGTCACTTATTGCATTGCTCTGATTGGTTGTAGGTCTATCCAATTGAATGCAGAGTTTGTTTGTTTTTTTTCTGGTTTAGTTAAGACACGCCTCATAATCAAAGCCCTATGGAGCAGTATCAAACTCGAATATGAGTATGACGAAGTCACGGTATCACAGCTGATAAATTCTCCACACAATCATCATCTAAAGAGGAAAACAGTTGAAGATAACCGATGTGACATGTCTTACCCTCTGTGCTGAGGCCAGGGCTTGAGGTGAATTTGGCCACATCCACAATCTTCACTGCAAACTGTTGACCCGTCTCCCTGTTGATGCATCTTCTTACCACGCTAAACGGCCCCCTGGAAAGGAAACAAACAGATAAATAAGACTCCTGCAAATTTTGGGCTTATTGATTAAATCAATATCAAGACAGGATGAGCAATGGTCAAAATAATCATGATAATCCTGATGGTAAATGGGTTGTACAAATCTTTTGAATTGCTGAAATAAACAATTATTTTATTCATATACTCAAAATTAAAAATGAAATAAAATTATAGAGTGCATTATCTATTGCCAAGGCTGTCTGTAGAAATCGGAAATCGGCCAAGCTTGTTGTCAATGATGATGATCCCAAAAAGTTACAATTTTGGTTGATTAATAAGTCTGATTTATCAGTCTATGACTAATGATTGTATCATTTATACACAGATGCAAGCAGCAATAAACTACCTATTCTGTGAGTGAGCTAACAAAGATTTCCAGTAAAAATCTAGATATTTTCTAGAATCATACATGGATACTAATACACAAGCCTGAACCTCCAGTGCGAACAGCTTATTTACACTTAGTTCTTGGCGCCAGCATTATCTTTGTTTCCTCTACTCGCAAAATAATTGAGCTATTGTTGCTGACTTGATGTTCTGATCTCATCCATAAAAGTTGAGTGGCTGAAATGAGAAGCCTGCCCTCTTTCTAGAAATGAAGAAATGCTCACAGCAGCAATGAGAATGATGGGATTGCTCTGTGTGGGCTGAGTGTTTGAGGAACAGCGGGGAGTATGGGGGCTGGGGAGAGGTTGGCTTTGCGTGAGGAGCTGTGATCTGACTTCCCAAAGCCTTTAACCCTCCTCAGCATGAGCTTAGTGTTTCTGCAGGCCTGAAGAGAGATGGCAGCAGAGAGATCACTGAAGCAAGTTTTGCTTCTGTTTGTGTGCAGTGGGTTGATTGCCGATAGGCCTGTTTTCTGTATCTGTGCTACAGGTAGATGTACAATCAGTCGTTCAATACTTCAAAATAAATACAGACAGAAAGGAATGTGAAGGGGTCTTTTATCATCTTAAAGTAGACTATTTTCTATGATGACCATGATCTAAATACACATTATCCCACTTTTATTCCTACCTAACGAATAAGCTTGTATTGTATTGACAAGGAAAACTTATTTGAGCAAATGACAACTCGTTTATTTCAAAACAGAGGAATGTTTTATTTCTCATAATGAAGCTTTGAAGGAACTTTGTGTTGGAATTTCTCCCATATAGCGGTGAGATTGTATTTTGCATTCAAACGAATGGTGCTCTCCAGCACCTACTGTAGCTTTTTTAAGTGCGCGTTGCATCTACGTTGGCCGTTTTCATGTACCAAAAAGCTATGACAGGATGTCTTCTAATAGCAGTTTGTCGAGTATTCCTTCAGTTGAACAGTTTTTTTTTTAATTTCAAACAAACTGCAACTTGACGCAACAAACAAACTAATGTTACAGTATGAATTACTGACTGAAAAACATGAACTACTGTATTATAATTAGTAGTTTAGTCGCCTTTATTCGTTATATTTTCTGAAGTACGTGCATTGTTAGATATCATCTCTAAATTTTTTGGCGACAAGGATTTCTTCTCCTTTGGCTCAGCATATGTATGGTCCGCCATTAAAAATAACTGGTGCTTTCAGTTACGTGACGTAGGCTCCTAACGAAAACGCCCTGTGGAAACGCATTGGCCTAGTACTTTTTGTCCCTCTCTGCTATTATAGTTTTTCAAGATGGCGGTACTACATGGAAGCCTCTGTGGACCTACCCGTCCCATGTATATAAAGATAATAAATTCTTTGTTTACGAGGATAAGTCAGATCATTGGCAGAAGTATTTGTACACCATTGAGGAGATATTTATGAATGACAATATTAATTTGAGATGATAAAATACCTAAAAAGTACAAATTTTCCCTTTAAAAATATTAAACAATAAAATAAAATCTGAAAATTAATGGTCAACACATGAATCACTTTATCCAAGTGTAAATCTTTTATTCATAGGACTTAGTTTCAAGTTTGTTTGTCATTTATTGTGTATAGTAAAAAAAAACTAATAAACTGTTCCTCTACAGTGAAGAAAATGTGCTGGTGTGATATTTACATTGAATACACTGAGCTCAGCATGGCCACATTTTCAAACTTGACATTTATTATCTATATTATTGCCGGCGAGTCAGTAGGAAATATTTCACCCTCCTCCTCAGGTACGTAGGTTACATTTCATTACAGACGACCCAGTTCACTATGCCCTATAGATATCCAGACAGACATAAAAATAGACAGACTTTATGAGATATGTGTTGTCAGAACCTCTCTGTACAGTTCCTAGGTCAGTGCTCCGGAGAGAACACTTTCTGGCTGACTTCTGTCTTCCTGTCATCCGAGTTATCTTGCTGAACTGTTAACAAACTGCAGGTGCATTGAACGTGTGGAGGACCAAGTTCAGCACTGCTAGACTGTGGCTGTGTCCAAAAGCTGATAAATGCTGCATTACAAGGTCAGAAGGTATCAAGGATTGTCCGAAAACAATGCTAGCTTAACTTCCTATTTCCAGAGATACCTTCATCTGACCAGTTTTTGAAAGAAGCATTGATGTTTCCTTCCCTGCCTTTGATATCCTACAATCCTGTGTATTTCGATCCATGACAAAAATAAACATGGCACATTTGCTTAGTTATCCTCAAAACTCTCTCTAATTTTATTTTGTGAGGTGCCACGATTTGCACACAATAACACCCTGACCTGTCGGCGAGCACAACGATTTGCAAATCGGGCTTAAAATCATGTAGTGTGAACTAGGCTTTAGGCAGCAAGGCAACAAGTCAGCAGCCAAAGTTTTAGGATGCAGCCTGTGTCTGAAACTAAAAGCTGCTGCTTTGCGGCCCAGTCAGTCATTGACTAAACCGAACTTACCAAAGAACTTAAAAAGAAAATGTCAAAAGAAATAATTTCAGACCAACTTCCAAATAACTATACCAATAACTTATGAACAAACATTCATTAAAACATCTGCATTAGACATAAGCAAGTGAACATTCAAGTGCCAAATTTGAGAGAAAAATGTCTTTGATTGGACAATTATTCTACCTACAGAACTCAAAGAGATGCACAGACCTAGGAGATTGTTCATATCATATAAAAGTGTGTGTGTGTGTGTGTTGCAAGCAAAGGACAGCATTAGGGCAGTGAAACGATTAATCGCAATTAATCGCATCCAAAATAAAGGTTTGTGTTTACATAGTATATGTGTGTGCAGTGTGTATAATTATTTTGTATATATAAATACACACACATGCATGTATATATTTAAGAAATATTTGCATATATATATATATATATATATATATACTTCATATATATTTATACAAAATTAATATTATACATAAATATAAATATTTAATATATTAATAACACATTTTTCTTAAATATATACATATTTATATATACAAAATAATTATACACACTACAAACACATATATTACGTAAACACAAACTTTTATTTTGGATGCGATTAATCGTTTCACAGCCCTAGTCACAGCATTTTTTGAGACCAAGCTGTGCTAAACTTTATACAGGACTCAGATCAGGACTGCAGTGCTCCCACATTCTTTCATTCACTCACATCTCCACAATTAAATATTTAAGAGTTGCAGCGTTTTGTCCTATGAGTCATGACTCGAGTAAATTAGTTTTTAAACAGAGCATTTGCTGAGATTTACTAAAAGCAATAAGCCACAAGGTTAAAAGGTCTTGTTTGGCACAGCACAATGAACGGAAAAACCATCAGTCTCACATTACATCTGAGATTTTGAAATAGACACAATGACTTGGCCGCCAATAAGCCAGGAAAATCAGGGAACTGGGCAAAAATCAGAGCTTGCTGTGTGACCGTTACATGATAAAAGAACATGGTTTTAATGTGTTAACATGACCTTACACATTGTCACAATATTCTAAGAATTGGTTTAAGATGATTAACGTAAAGAAAATCTAATTTCATGTCCTTACAGCAGTCTGCTGACCTTCAAGACTCTGAAAAACAAGCAGATGCTTCTTAATAAATAATACAATCTGCATTTCAAGCAGAAGTCTATTCTGATTCAGCTATAAAATTGCAATGCTGGCAAACTGGAGAAGAATGCAAATTGAAGAGGTGGTTGGGTGCTTAATATTATCAATATATCTTGCTAATATGGGTGCGAGAGGGGCTGTGTTTTCCCCAACACAAACTGCACGAGCAGATGGCGTGAGGCACAAAGCCGCTTACTGGCAGAGAGCCGAGGACCAGTCATGCGTAGCTCAGAGCTGGACTAAACTGCTAGAACTGTGGATGCATGACACTCAGAAGAACCATAACATCTGAATGAGCTTTATCTACTCAATCTGTCATGATCCTCATGTTGTTCTTAGTGCAAATGTTCCCTAGCCGTTATGTAAATGACGTTACGTACTGTATATAACACCAACCAGAAATGCAAATAACATTTAGTTGCTCAAAGATGTCTCTTTAAGGTATAAGGAATATGTGCATTTATCTGCACTGTTGGAGTCATGAAGGAGTTCATTGACTTTGATAGCAGGCTAAATGGACTGACACTTCCATTTGTGGAAAAAAGTCATACTTATTGTGGAACATCGGTAATATTCTGTAATATAAGATTCAGTCTCAATTTTCTTCTCAAAAAAGATTTGAACAATCAGTATGATTTTTCATCTCTACAGTCATTGTAAAGTACCTTGCAAAAGTAAGAAAAGTCACAATAGTCTCTCTAAAAATCGCTTTTTTTTTCCTAAATAGAATGTCATTTATTTTATTTATTAATTCAAATGAAATATTTATTTTATATAGAGCATTTCATTATACTAGCAACTAACAAAAACAAAACAAATTGTTGCTTGTCAGACTGTACGAACTTGTCCCACTGTAGGATCTCAGTTGTCAATGACTACGTTTACATGCTGCCAATAACCCTTTCAAAACCGGGATATTAGCAATAACCCGGTCGCGAACGGCCATGTAAACACCGGCAAAAACCCGAATGCTC